TAGCATTCTCGTGTAGTGTTTTATCAACTTTGCTCATATTAATTTGATTGACCCCTTTTAGGGGCCACTAAAGCTAAAAATAGAAATACGGTTAAATGTTTATTTCTAGAGAACTAATTGATAGAAATACTAAACTTTGTCTGTAGCATTGTTGGGTAGTCATTTATCAAGTTTGCTAAAAAAAATTTAATTGGCCCCTTATAGGGGTGCAAAAGCTAAAAATAAAAATACCTTGAAATGTCTACTTCTATAGAACTAATTGATGGATGATCACCAAACTTTGTCAGTAGCATTCTTGGTTAGCATTTTATCAAGTTTGCTCATATTAATTTGATTGGCCCCTTTTAGGGGTCTCTATAGCTAAAAATAGGAAAACCTTAAGATATCTTCTTCTACAGAACTAACTGATGGATGATCACCAAACTTTGTCTGTAGCATTTTTGGGTAGTCTTTTATCAAGTTTGCTCATATTAATTTGATTGACCCCTTTTAGGGGCCACTAAAGCTAAAAATAGAAATACGGTTAAATGTTTATTTCTAGAGAACTAATTGATGGATGATCACTAAACTTTGTCTGTAGCATTGTTGGGTAGTCATTTATCAAGTTTGCTAAAAAAAATTTAATTGGCCCCTTATAGGGGTGCAAAAGCTAAAAATAAAAATACCTTGAAATGTCTACTTCTATAGAACTAATTGATGGATGATCACCAAACTTTGTCTGTAGCATTCTTGGTTAGCATTTTATCAAGTTTGCTCATATTAATTTGATTGGCCCCTTTTAGGGGTCTCTATAGCTAAAAATAGGAAAACCTTAAGATATCTTCTTCTACAGAACTAACTGATGGATGATCACCAAACTTTGTCTGTAGCATTCTTGGGTAGTCTTTTATCAAGTTTGCTCATATGAATTTGAATGGCCCCTTTTAGGGGCCGCTTAAGCTAAAAATAGAAATACCGTTAAAGGTTTATTTCTAGAGAACTAATTGATGGATGATCACTTAACTTTTTCTGTAGCATTGTTGGGTAGTCATTTATCAAGTTTGCTAAAAAAAATTTAATTAGCCCATTTTAGGGGCGCAAAAGCTAAAAATAGAAATACCTTGAAATGTCTATTTCTATAGAACTAATTGATGGATGATCACCAAACTTTGTCAGTAGCATTCTCGGGTAGTGTTTTATCAACTTTGCTCATATTAATTTGATTGACCCCTTTTAGGGGCCACTAAAGCTAAAAATAGAAATACGGTTAAATGTTTATTTCTAGAGAACTAATTGATGGATTATCACTAAACTTTGTCTGTAGCATTGTTGGGTAGTCATTTATCAAGTTTGCTAAAAAATTTAATTGGCCCCTTTTAGGGGTGCAAAAGCTAAAAATAAAAATACCTTGAAATGTCTACTTCTATAGAACTAATTGATGGATGATCACCAAACTTTGTCTGTAGCATTCTTGGTTAGTATTTTATCAAGTTTGCTCATATTAATTTGATTGGCCCCTTTTAGGGGTCTCTATAGCTAAAAATAGGAAAACCTTAAGATATCTTCTTCTACAGAACTAACTGATGGATGATCACCAAACTTTGTCTGTAGCATTCTTGGGTAGTCTTTTATCAAGTTTGCTCATATGAATTTGAATGGCCCCTTTTAGGGGCCGCTTAAGCTAAAAATAGAAATACCGTTAAAGGTTTATTTCTAGAGAACTAATTGATGGATGATCACTAAACTTTTTCTGTAGCATTGTTGGGTAGTCATTTATCAAGTTTGCTAAAAAAATTTAATTAGCCCATTTTAGGGGCGCAAAAGCTATAAATAGAAATACCTTGAAATGTCTATTTCTATAGAACTAATTGATGGATGATCACCAAACTTTGTCTGTAGCATTCTTGGGTAGTATTTTAGCAAGTTTGGTTATATTAATTTGATTGGCCCCTTTTAGGGGTCTCTATAGCTAAAAATAGGAAAACCTTAAGATATCTTCTTCTACAGAACTAACTGATGGATGATCACCAAACTTTGTCTGTAGCATTCTTGGGTAGTCTTTTATCAAGTTTGCTCATATGAATTTGAATGGCCCCTTTTAGGGGCCGCTTAAGCTAAAAATAGAAATACCGTTAAAGGTTTATTTCTAGAGAACTAATTGATGGATGATCACTAAACTTTTTCTGTAGCATTGTTGGGTAGTCATTTATCAAGTTTGCTAAAAAAAAATTTAATTAGCCCATTTTAGGGGCGCAAAAGCTAAAAATAGAAATACCTTGAAATGTCTATTTCTATAGAACTAATTGATGGATGATCACCAAACTTTGTCAGTAGCATTCTCGGGTAGTGTTTTATCAACTTTGCTCATATTAATTTGATTGACCCCTTTTAGGGGCCACTAAAGCTAAAAATAGAAATACGGTTAAATGTTTATTTCTAGAGAACTAATTGATGAATGATCACTAAACTTTGTCTGTAGCATTGTTGGGTAGTCATTTATCAAGTATGCTAAAAAATTTAATTGGCCCCTTTTAGGGGTGCAAAAGCTAAAAATAAAAATACCTTGAAATGTCTACTTCTATAGAACTAATTGATGGATGATCACCAAACTTTGTCTGTAGCATTCTTGGTTAGTATTTTATCAAGTTTGCTCATATTAATTTGATTGGCCCCTTTTAGGGGTCTCTATAGCTAAAAATAGGAAAACCTTAAGATATCTTCTTCTACAGAATTAACTGATGGATGATCACCAAACTTTGTCTGTAGCATTCTTGGGTAGTCTTTTATCAAGTTTGCTCAAGACATATGAATTTGAATGGCCCCTTTTAGGGGCCGCTTAAGCTAAAAATAGAAATACCGTTAAAGGTTTATTTCTAGAGAACTAATTGATGGATGATCACTAAACTTTTTCTGTAGCATTGTTGGGTAGTCATTTATCAAGTTTGCTAAAAAAAATTTAATTAGCCCATTTTAGGGGCGCAAAAGCTATAAATAGAAATACCTTGAAATGTCTATTTCTATAGAACTAATTGATGGATGATCACCAAACTTTGTCTGTAGCATTCTTGGGTAGTATTTTAGCAAGTTTGGTTATATTGATTTGATTGGCCCCTTTTAGGGGTCTCTATAGCTAAAAATAGGAAAACCTTAAGATATCTTCTTCTACAGAACTAACTGATGGATGATCACCAAACTTTGTCTGTAGCATTCTTGGGTAGTCTTTTATCAAGTTTGCTCATATGATTTTGATTGGCCCCTTTTAAGGGCCGCTTAAGCTAAAAATAGAAATACCTTTAAATGTCTGTTTCTACAGAGCTAATGGATGGATGATCACCAAACTTTGTCTGTAGCATTGTTGAGTAGTCTTTTATCAAGTTTGCTCATATTATTTTGATTGGCCTCTTTAAGGGGCATCTTAAGCTAAAAATAGAAAAAACCTTTAAACTGTTCTTCTACTACAGAACTAAGTGATGGATGATCACCAAACTTTGTCTGTAGCATTATTTGGTAGTCTTTTATCAAGTTTGCTCATATTAATTTGATTGGCCCCTTTTAGGGGCCGCTAAAATTAAAGATAGAAATATGTTTAAACATCTTCTCCTACAGAACTATGTGATGGATGATCACTAAACTTTGTCTGTAGCATATTTGGGTTATCTTTTATCAAGTTTGCTCACATTAATTTTATTGGCCCCTTTAGGGGCTGCTTAAGCTAAAAATAGAAAAACCTTTAAACATTTTCTACTTCAGAACCAATTAATGGATGATCACCAAACTTTGTCTGTAGCATTCATTGGTACTCTTTTATCAAGTTTGCTTATATTAATTTGATTAGCCCCTTTTAGGGGCCACTAAAGCTAAAAATAGAAAAAAAACCTTCGAACATCATTTCCTACTGAAATAATTGATAGATGATCACCAAACTTTTGTAGCATTCTTAGGTAGTCTTTTATCAAGTTAGCTCATATTAATTTGATTAGCCCCGTTAAAGTTAAAGCTTAAATGCCCCAGGTTATAGCATTCATTCAAATTATTGTTTAAACATATTCTATGCTCAAATTTAATATTAGAAAATATTGACATTCCAACACTGAAAAGCAGTTGTTTCTGGTGAGTGACTCAGGGCCATCATGGCCCTCTTGTTTATATTGTTGTCATTATATTTCCTCCACATGTTTGGTTGGATAACTTTATTTGAGTTATCCTTTTAGTAGTTTACAAATACTCTTAGTAAAAATTTCCTCATGATTTACATAGAGGATATTTGTTTAGTTCAGTGTAAGATCGGAATATATTTCACCGAGTGAGCACCAAAAGGTATATTTCACGAGTGGCGCAGCCACGAGTGAAATATGAACTTTTGGTGTTCACAAGGTGAAATATATTTCAATCTTACACTAAACTAAACAAATTTTCTTTTTATTACATGCAAAGGAACGTTTTAAAAGACATTTAACCTAATACTGAATGAAAAGCGCGCCAAATAATAATACAACGTGACGTCATTTACGACGTCACGTCAGTAAGTTGGTACCCAGTACTGTGCACGCTGGTATTTCACTGAAACAACGTAAGGGGCTTAAATTCAAAACAGTGAAATTATCAAAGTGGTAATTTCACTGTTTCAAACAGTGAAATTACCAGTTTTATGTCACTGATATATTTCTATAAACCATCGAAAAGCATGTAATAAAAATCTATTGTTAAAGAAAAGTCACAGTATATTTTAATTTATCACAGATTGTACAAATTTCTATGTTTTGTAGGCAGTGAATTGAGTGACTGTTCTGTTAATGTATTTTTGGCCTTGTCATCTATTTCTGATACTTAAATAGCCATGCACTAGCTAAACAGTTAGTATGGCTTTGGCAGATACCAAAAATCCAAGCATTATCTCAGCATATTGTAATTCATAAAATTTGACTAAGGGGAACATAATATAACGTCAGAGTTAAAATCTTGTTGGACCCCTTGAATTCTTTTGTGATTTGCTGTAGCTAAGAAATATTTTTTTTTATTAGCAGGTAAACCAATTACTGTTGAGAAGGTCGGAGAAACAGATAATAGGGGTAGTGATAGAATGGAGTCTATTTCTAGTTCAAAAGACGAGAATGCAAATCAGTCAACAGCTTTAGGACAGGATGTTTTGGATAAGGAAGGATCATCTGATAAGGAAAATGCCCAATGAAAGGTTAGCAGAGGAACCCATGTCAATAGAGATTATTGAAATGGAAACTGATGCAAATCATCAGACCTCTAATGGTGGAAATTTGAAACAAAGAGCATTCAGATGTTGATGTAGAAGAAAAATAAAACTAGCAGTCATCAAGGTGGAAGAGAAGAAAAGGAATACAGAAACTATGGAAACAACAATTGATCTAACAGAAACTGGTGACTCTGGAAGTGATATTGACATCCCTTGATGGCATTGACACAGAGTATAATCTTGCAGTGAAAAAGAGGACACAAAACCTTCAATCTGGAACCTGAACATTTTGCCTTCAAAGTCCAAATACAGATTTATCAGCAGAGCTAAAAAATGTTTTAATCTAGATAATACGCAAAAAAAGGAAATGTTGTTATTATTGATGAGTCTAATTCAATGATAACAAAAAGATGGTCAATCTTCAGATACAGAAAATGATTCTCAGTTTGATAGTGATGACTCTGATGCTAATAGTGATCTGTCAAATCCAACACAGATCCCTAAACAAGTAAAAAAAGATAAGGATCAAGCACAGAAAAAACGTAACAAGAAACAGAAGGAAAACAAGAAAAAAATAAAAAAGGAGAAGGAAGATGAAAATGTTGGCGACTCTAATCCTTCAGATCCTTCAGCTGAAGGAGGTAAAAAGAATGACAAATTACATCAGGTAGCACAACCGATTGAAGCAGGTACTCATGAGTCAACACCATCAGGAAACAAAAAAGTATTTGGGCAAGGTTTAAGGTTTGGATTGAATCAAAAAGGTGACTCTGTTGACATCAAAACATCTCCAGGGAGTAGCCTTTTGGAATTGAATAAAGGTAAGGTTGGTACACAGGAGACAAAGAAAATAGCAGATTCTGAAAAACATGGGACAGCACAAAAGATTGAAGCAGATGCTCAAGAGTCAAAACCATCAGAAAAAGAAAAGGTATTTGGGCAAGGTGTAGGGTATGGACTGAATCAAAGAGGTGACTCTGTTGAAATAACTACTCCTCAGGGAAGTAGCCTTTTTGAAGTGAAAAAAGGTAAAGCTGGTACACAAGAGACACACAAAGCAGCAGATTCTGGAAAACTTGAGACTCAAGAGTCTGTAAAGACAACAGATAAAATTAAAAGCTCAAGTGGTTCTAAAGAAAATGACAAAAATGCAAGTGATGAGGATGAAGACGTTGAAACAGAAGAAGAATCTGATGATGGTTCAAGTGTTGATCCAGTTTTAACTAGAAGACAAAAGAGAAATCAAAATAGGAAAAATAAGACATTGAAAGAACACGCAGAGCAGAAAGGGACAAAAGCAAAAGAAAATGCAAAGGTATATTCAGTTTTTGTGCATTGTTCTGTTTAATTTTCAAGAACAGAACATTGATAAAGTGAAATGATAGAGTAATATCTGTACATGCCCATGCGTCATGTTGTTTTCAGGCTATAATGAGATAAATATATTATTGTTTTCTGATTTCATATGTATACATAATTATAATAACAAGAATAGAATATATATGTCAATCTATATTGTTTAAATTAATATTTCTCATTGATGGATTATTATCAGTTTGTAAGGTTATGGTACATAAAAATAATAAATGCCCTAAAATCTTTTCATAAAGTTAAATGAAATGTTTTCAGTCATAATGTTCTTAAATACAAGAAATATAACATAAAAATACTATATATTTCAGAACAAGAATAAAAATCAAACCCCAAAGGTCACAGACACTGCAACAGGCAGTGGGTAAGGACATGTATATTTCTTTTCATTCATAGAATACATTTAGTTAAATGGTACAATTTTACCGCAAAATGAATACTCTTTTCCTTCTTTATAGAGGGCTGCAAAACATAGTTTAAAAATGTCTTAACAATGGTTAAAGAATATGTTAGAAACTTGTTACAAGAAGAAGGAAGTGCTGAATGTGAATAATTTTTGTAATAGATTATGCAAAATTTGAGCAAAGGAGTATTTTGACTTCCATACAAAATAACTAGATCACTATAACTGCTCTAACTTCCAAAAAGAAAAAAAGCAAATGATGTTTCAGATAAATGGTAAATGAGTTACTTTCTTGTTACTTAAGCAGGACATCAAAAATGAAAAAAATATTTTGAAAAGTAATATTAAAAGCATTTTGGAGACATAATGGGCCTTTAAGGCATGTTTGTACTGATAGTTTTGCATGTTATCCTATACTTTCTATTCTTAGTGGTGGTGAAAAAACAAAGAGCTTTTTATAATTCCCCTGTATAATTATGGGGCTCATTATTATTTGATAAATTTTTCAGTCAGCCATGTACAATTTGTTTTCAATAATTAAAGGGACTCCACTGAGATTTTTGTCATGACAGGACTTGAAATAATTATTTTCAAAGATTAATGTTCCATTTGATTTAGGTCTAGACCAGTTACTTGAAGTGCAAAATTTCAGATCATTCGTTCTATCCATTTTTCCAGAATATTCAATAATAATTGTGAAAAATGACTTTTCACTAGAATTGGGCTAAGAATAGCACTAAAATATAGCTTTTTTATTTCCTAGTATATTCCTTAATTATCTGTTGTATATCCCTCAGTTTTAAATGCCTTAGTTTGGATTTATGTAAGAATTTCAAATTTTATGATTTTAGGCTTTTTGACCTTAGTAATCCTTTAATAGGAAGTTAAGAAGTAAGTTTTTCTCTAGGATTAAATATGAATTGAATGATTTCTCTTGAAGGGCAAAAGGAAATAGAGGAGGTACATCGAAACAGACAACAGTTTACTTCCATGCCTTGATAAGTGATGATTTCAAGTTTGATCCTCAGAAAGACAAAGTAATCCTAAGAATGGAAGATAAGCAAGGCAATTGGCCTGAGAACATGTCCAATATCTGCACTGTTAAAAAGTATGTTCTGTTCTGATTTGATTGAATAATGATTATGGATATAAAAAAAAATTGTTTCTAAGATACTTGTTTCGATTGGAAATTTTGCAGTAGCTGCTGTGATGTTTGTTTTAAATTAGAAAAAAATTGCAATGATTATTTAAAACTTTGCAAAGAATTTGCTTCTTTATGCATCTTTATAATGTATTAAGTCATGCATTTTTTGTTACAACATTTCAGTAAGGTATTTGATGGTGTATATGAATTGGAGTTTAAGATAAAGCTCCCTGTGTCACAGCTTACTGGTAAAAGATTACAGTACAAGTACACTATACTGAAGACAGAGAAGGACAAAGACAAGTTTATTTGGGAACATTATTTAAAAGATACAGCATCTGGAAGTTATGGTGTTGGAATAAATAGAACATTAGTGGTTCAAGAGAAGTGGAAGAAAACTGGTAATTTTCAATTCTTTGTAAAAATTCTATTTTAATTTGAAAAATTTAATTAATAAGTATATGCACTCATAATTTAAAATGAATTTATTTTTAAAGTCATTATGAAAGAATAAAAGTTCTGCACATAGGAAGTAAATGGCTTGCTTACCATGATTATAAACTGTTGGCAGCTAAAGAATTTAGTTTTGGTAATTTATTACAAAACTTTGTTGGAGTAGTAAACTTAGCCTTTGTCCATGTAATGCCCTTGATAGCAAGCTTATGGGGAGACCACTCTTGGGATTACTTTTGGTTTCAGGATGATTTTTCTTTGACGAAGCAGTGTATTGAAGTATTTTTGGTACACTGCTAAAACATTATAAAATGCATGTCTCGCTCATTTTTCACCTACCAAATTTTGTTAATAAAGAAATAATTGTATTACTATTAATAACAACTGACTGTAAATCTAACAAAAAATTCAAATAATTTAATGCAAGGCACAATTTGTATTGTGCAATTTGATATATTTTTCCTAGTTGCATAAGCAATGTACTGATGTTATATTTTCAGACGAGTGGCACCAATATGACGGCGTCATTGAGAAAGAACCATCAACATGGCGTGAAAAACTGTCAAGCCTTATGTTTTCATGGAAAAAAGAGCTTGTAAAACATGCAAGGAAGAGTGTGCAGTATTTCAGCAACAGGATAATAGAAGCTGAAGACTCGAAGTACTCCCTAAGTTACGTTTTAGATCAACTTGAAATCTTGCTTTCTTGCATGAAGAAAATATATTTCACAGATTCAAAATGCTGGTATCAGCATGAAGAGGACAAATTCAAGGAAGAGGTGTGTTTATATTTCTTTTTAATCAGCTGGTTCAAATTTTGAATGCCTGAATACATAATGATGTCTCCCAAAAATTTTTGGGAGACATTGTTTTTGCTTTCGCCATCTGTCTGTCTGTCAGTCAGTCAGTCTGTCTGGTTGGTTGATTGTCCGTCCATCCACATTAAGATTGTATGGCTTTCACAGGTCAAACTGCTGATGAGATTTCAATGAAACTTCAAAGGAGTGATCAGTACCCTCCTAAATTGTGTATATCCCCGACACGTTACCCTTTGCTGCACAAAATGGCCACTAGAATTAAAAAAAAGAAAAAATCAGGCTTTCACAGGTTGAACTGTTGATGTGATTTCAATGAAACTTCACATAAGTGATCCGTGAGTACAGTTGTGCACATCGCCGGCACCTTCCTGACTTTGCTGCACAAAATGACTGCTAGAGCTAAAAATTGAAAAATCTTGTCTTGCTTTCACAGGTTAAATTTAATTTGCTGGTGGGATTTCAATAGAACATCACAATAATCTTCAGTTGTGTATATAATTGCCGGCACATTCTGCTTTGCTGCACAAAATAGCCACCAAAGCTTTTTATGGAAAAATATTTTCTGGGTTTCACAGGTAGAAACGCTGGCGGGATTTCAATGAACCTTTACTGGAGTGATCAGTACCATCTTTAGTTGTGCATATTGCTGCACATTCTGCTTTGCTGTACAAAATAGCCGCCAGAGCTATAAATAAAAAATCTTGTTAGGCTTTCACAGGTCAAACTGCTGGCAGGATTTCAGGAGTGATCAGTACCAAACCTCGTTTTGGGAGATATGTTTTTGTGACAAAAACACCTTCTCTGAATATGTTTTAGCTTTAATTATATCAGGTGTTTTAGAAACTTGCAGGTTCAGAAATAGGTCAAATATTTAAAAAAAAAGAAATGAGACAATTTTTTAGAAAAGGAAAGATTTTGATCAGTACTAAGTGTAAGAAGTTTGAAGCAAATTATTATTCATAATTATTAGAAGAAAAGTATAAGTGTAACATATGACTTTTGTAGACCATTTAAACTGTTGGTTAAATCATCATAGTGTTTAGGGGTAAACTTTCATTTTGTCTTCCACTTTGTACATAATATAATTATGTTAAAAAGATATTTGTTTGCTTAACTGCAATACAATGTTTAGATTACAAATAAAACTGGCATGGTATTTCTTAATTAAAATTAATCTTAAATTAATCTTTGATTTTTAAAATCGTTTCAAATGTGGTAACCTTCAACAATTACACAATGAGGCTTTAACAGAGAAGATAGAGTTTACCAGAAATGATTTCATATATCTTACATAAATATATTTTTACCTTCTGAAAATAAAAAGATTTATGTTTGAAGTTTTGTCAATTTGCCGTCATGATTCATTGATTGATATAGTTTTTACATGATATTGTCATTTATTGCTGTTTTACACAATTTGTACATTAATATGCTACTTGATTTGCTGATACACATGGTAAAAAATAATGTTTCTTAATTTATACATGTTTATGGTGATACACATAGCACATGATTATTTTACTTGATCTGTATTGCAGATTGGAGGATGTGTGCTTGAAGTTATGCTAGACAAGGTAAAAGATGTACCTGGTGAAAAATGGATTTGGGATGAACTCCATGAAAGACAAGTTTCAATGACCATTGCTGCTATACTTGCTGCCAAGAAATTAGCAATTTCTTTGAGTGGGCACAAAAAATCCATCAAAATCCTTGAATGTCTTATTTTACATCCAGATCCAGTGAAAAAAGAATGCTTTGAACTTTCTGTGATTGAAAAATATTTCCCAGATAAAAGGTACGAGGAGTATTCAATAATTAGTGTCGGGGCTATAGTAAAATGAAAACTTTTAAAGCAACTACCATTTTTATTTTTTTATACCTTCAAAGTAATCTCCTTTGAACAATATACAAAGTTTCAAACGTTTGATCCAATTTTGAAATGCTTTTTTATAGTCTTCTTGAGGTATACCCCTACACAACTGATGTAATGCTGAACCAAGTCCATTTCTGGTGCTGTAACGGCGACCCTGAAGGTGTTTCTTTAATCTTGGAAACAGGAAGAAATCGCAGGGTGCCAAATCTGGCGAGTATGGTGGATGATTAAGCACAGTTACACGTTTGCTCTCCAAGAATTTCTTAACAATGTCTGCCTTGTGTGGAGTAGCGTTGTCATGGAGTAGATACAGACCTCTCATACCAGTATTTGGACGACGTTTGCGATAATATTTGTCAACTTTGTTTAACACTATTCGTTTGTAAACCTTTGCAGTAACGGTACGACCTTTTGAAATAGGAACTAGTGTCGCTACACCATGTATACCCAAGAACATGGCATACATAACCGTCTTTGTGCTAGTCATTCTTTTAGCTATACAGGGCCTACGGGTATGTTTGCTGGCCCATATCTTATTATTTACCTTCCGTGTTGGCTTAAAAAGCGGAACCAACTTTCGTCTCCAGTTACAATGTTAGAAAATTTACGATCGTTATATTTGGGAAACATCTTCAATAATTTTTTGGCACATTTTACACGCACTTGCTTTTGCTTTTCAGTCAATAAATGTGGTATCCATCTGACTGCAATCTTCTTAACTTTGAGGTGCTTCTTTAGAATCGTAAATGTACTTCCCGTTGAAATACCAGTATACTTAGCTATTTCAGAAGCTGTATATCGAGCTTCTTTGTTTATGAGTTCTTGTACTTTTTTAATGTTGTTTTTGGTGACCACTGTGTGTTTTCTTCCCCTACCACTAGCATCGTTTAGTGACTCTGTTCCACTTTTAAACTTAATAATCCATCTTTGAACTGTCCTTTCACTAACCGCAGATGGTCCATAAATACGACAAAGTTCTTTATGAATGGCTGCACCACTTAACCCAAATGTCATACCCGCTTTGATGTAAGCTCGAATTTCAACATCATTTACTGAATCTTTTCCAGCCATTTTTATACGCAGTTGATCGAATATTTAACTTTCAACACTAATTTTCTTAAAACATGTGTGAATTGGGATACATGTATGTTACACCGTTGGAAAGATAAAGAGTTGAAGCGTATCATAATGTAACTTTGCACGTGATTCAAGAAATATACTTAGAAAAAATTGAGGCCCGTCACTAATTATTGAATGCTCCTCGTAGTACATTGTATTTCAAAATAGCTTGGAAAGAATAGAATTTAATACATAGTATCTTCATTAAGTTTAGTATTCATATGTGTATCAGAAATATGTAAATATATTCTGAGAACGAGCTAGAGCTATGTTAATTCCTATGCTTGGAGGCATAAGTCTTTTATCTATATAATACATTAAGGCAAATTAAATTATTCAAATAAAAACAACTTAATTTCAGACTACTATTAACTAGAACAACTTCAGTATTGTGTAAACAAAATTTCAATTTGATAACATAAAACTAAAGTGAATATCTGGCATCATATTAGAGAACAAACTGCTCTTAATCATGTCTTGTTAGCTCACCAGAACCAAAGGTTCAGGGTGATCTATTAGTATCAAAGGGGATACTCCGTCGTCCGTCATCATGTATCAACAATCATCTTCTTCTCTGAAACTGGTTGGCAGATTTACCTCAATTTAGGTCTGTAGCATCCTTGTGACAGTCACACTTGAATTTGCTCATGTCATTTCAATAAATGGCCCCTTTTAGGGGTCAACAGAGCTAAAAATAGAAAAACCTTTAAACATCCTCTACATACTAAATTAAATGATGGATGATCACCAAACTTTGTCTGTAGCATTCTTAGGTAGTCTTTTATCAAGTTTGCTCATATCATTTCTATTGGCTTCTTTAAGGGGTCTTTTAAGAGATAAAAATAGAATTTTTTTATACATCTCCTACAGAACTTTGTCTGTAGCATTCTTAGGTAGTGTTTTATCATGTTTGCTCATATTTATTTGATTGGCCCCTTTTAGGGGCCAATAAAGCTAAAAATAGAAATACATTTAAACATCTCCTTCTACAGAACTAATTGATGGAAGATCACCAAATTTTATCTGTTGCTCATATTAATTTGATTGGCAAAAGCTAACTATAGAAAAACTTTTGAACATCACCTTCTACTGAAATAATTTATGGATGATCACCAAACTTCTGTCTATAGCATTATTAGGTAGCCTATTATCAAGTTTGCTCATATGAATTTGATTGGCCCCTAAAAGGGGCCGCTAAAGCTAAAGGTAGAAAAACCTTTGAACATCATCTCCTTCTACAGAACTAATTGATGGATGATCACCAAATTTTGTCTGTAGCATTCCTCAGTAGTCTTTTATCAAGTTTACTCATATTAATTTGATTGGCCACTTTTAGGGGACGCTTAAGCTTAAATGCCTTGTGCCCTGGCGTTTCTTCAAATTATAGTTTGAAAATATTCTATGCTCAAATTTTATATTAGAAAATATTGACATTGGATACACAGTCTCTTTATAAATGTATAATAAACGTGTTTTGACTTCGCACAAAGTAGATATTCCTCACTATAGGTGGTCATAGTATGAATATATAGTATGTATCATTAAAAAAACTGGTTGTTTTTTAGCTCACCTGAGCTTACTCAGGGTGAGCTATTAGGATCGGTGAATGTCCGTCGTCCGTCCACAATTGCTTGTGAACACACTAGTGGTCACACTTATGACTCAATCATCATCAAACTTTGTCAGGATGCTTGTTTAGTCAATTGCTCAGATGAGTTCAAAACTGGGTCATTTCGGATGGAAAACTAGGTCAAAGGAGCTAAAAATAGAAAAACCTTGTGAACACTCTAGTGGTCACATTTTTGACCCAATCATCATCAACCTTTGTCAGAATGCTTGTTTAGATTATTGCTTGGATGAGTTCCAACATGGGTCATCTCTGATGAAAATCTAGGTCACAGGAGCTATAAATTGAAAAACCTTGTGAACACTCTAGTGGTCACATTTTTGAACCAATCATCATCAAACTTAGTCAGAATGCTTGTCTAGTCAATTGCTTGGATGAGTTCGAACATGGGTCATCTCTGATGAAAAACTAGGTCTCATGAGCTAAAAATAGAAAAACCTTGTGAACACTCAAGTGGTCACATTTTTTACCCAATCATCATCAAACTTTGTCAGGATGCTTGTTTAGATAATTGCGCAGATGAGTTCGAATATGGGTCATCTCTGATGAAAAACTAGGTCACAGGAGCTATAAATAGAAAAACCTTGTGAACACTCTAGTGGTCACATTTTTTACCCAATCATCATCAAACTTAGTGTGGATGCTTGTCTAGTCAATTGCTCAGATGAGTTTGAATATGGGTCATCTCTGATGAAAAACTAGGTCACAGGAGCTAAAAATAGAAAAACCTTTTGAACACTCTAGTGGTCACATTTTTTACCTAATCATGATCAAACTTTGTCAGGATGCTTGTTTAGATAATTGCTTTGATGAGTTTGAATATGGGTCATCTCTGATGAAAAACTAGGTCACAGGAGCTATAAATAGAAAAACCTTGTGAACACTCTAGTGGTCACATTTTTTACCCAATCATCATCAAACTTAGTGTGGATGCTTGTCTAGTCAATTGCTCAGATGAGTTTGAATATGGGTCATCTCTGATGAAAAACTAGGTCACAGGAGCTAAAAATAGAAAAACCTTTTGAACACTCTAGTGGTCACATTTTTTACCTAATCATGATCAAACTTTGTCAGGATGCTTGTTTAGATAATTGCTTTGATGAGTTTGCACATGGTTTATCTCCGATGAAAAACTAGGTCACAGAAGCTATAAATAGAAAAACCTTGTGAACACTCTAGTGGTCACATTTTTGACCCAATTATTAAGAAACCTTGTCAGGATGCTTGTTTAGTCAATTGTTTGGATGAGTTCGAACATGGGTCATCTCGGGTGGAAAACTAGGTCACAGGAGCTAAAAATAGAAAAACCTTGCGAACAGTCTAGTGGTCACATTTTTGACCCAATCATCATCAAACTTTGTCAGAATGCTTGTCTAGTCGATGCTTGGATAAGTTTGAACATGATTTATCTCGGATGGAAAACTAGGTCACAGGAGCTAAAAATAGAAAAACCTTGTGAACACTCTAGTGTCACATTTTTGACTCAATTATCATCAAACTTGGTCAGGATGCTTGTCTAGGTAATTGCTCGAATGTCAAGCTCGAATATGGGTCACCTGGGGTCAAAAACTAGGTCACACTGCTCAAATATGGATAATCCTTGTTAACACTAGTGGTCACATTTTTGACACACCTGTCATGAAACTTGGTCAGAATGCTTGTCTAGGTAATTGTTCGGATGAGTTTGACGGGTCAGGTGAGCGATCTAGGGCCATCTTGGCCCTCTTGTTTATAGAAAAGCCCAACTTTACTTTGCCTATAATAGGGAATGCAGCTAATCATACATAGTTTTTTCATTCTTTTATCTAAATTACACTTACTTAGTAAAAATTTCATAGATTTCAATAAATTTCTATGATAAAAATATTTTACTCAAGGATGAGCATAGTATATCTTTCTGATGCCATATTGAATTTTGATGGCAGCAGACCTACTCCTGATATTTTTGATACCATGTGACCTACTTTCTTGATATGACGTACAGACTTAATTTGGTCCAGGGGTGTAATTTTTTATGCTGAATTGAATTTTGATAGCAGCTGACTTATTTGAGATACAGTTAAACTTCGTTCGCTCGAACTCGGATCGCTCGAATACCTCCCTTTGCTCGAACTCATCGCCCAGTCCAGGCAAAGTTACTATATATATAATGTATATTATTCTACCTCGGAACGCTCAAACACCCATCGCTCGAACTCTCAAACCTGATCTCTGGTCACTTCGGCAGAAATATAGTGTAAATCACACCTTTTCGGTCGAACACAAGACAACAAAAAAAAAAAAAATCATTTCACCTACTTTCTTGCTTTTTGCCATACAGACATGAAATTTGACCAAGTGTGTAATTTCTGATGCTGACTTGAATTTTGATATCAGCTGGCCAAGTTTTGATATTTTTTACATTGTTTGACCTATTGTCTTTTTTTGAGGTACAGTTAAATTACCATATAGAATGTATAAAAAATTTGTTGTTCCAAACTGTAAACTTCAAACATCTACACCTTACATATTTTGCATGTGACATTTTGTGTATTCATTCACAAAAGTTATAATAAAAATTGTCTCATCAAAATTAACCCTGCTCTAGTGGTCATTTATTCTGTCTTTATTCTACATAGTCTCATAGGTACATATATTTTTAACAAAGCATTTCCAAAATATTAGGGCAAAATATTTCAAATTATATAGTGAATAATGAAATAATGGGTTAGATGAGTGATCTAGGGCCATCTTAGTGGCCCTATTGTTAATTATGAAGAAAAAAACCCAACAATCAGTGTTGTGAAAGTATATTACTAGAGAGGCGAGTTAAAGTTGAGCTGAACTTGCTGAAAGACTTGGACTTGCGATTCAGCAAGTTCATTTGAAAAATAGTTTTTACAACACTGAAAAGCAGTTGTTTCAGGTGAGCGATTCAGGGCCATCATTGCCCTCTTGTTTTTCAGTTCTGTTCTATACAAAATTAAATGTGTAATATTTAAACTGACAAAATTATATGCATGTATAGAGTTATATTCTATAAATTTGTCCTACAGGAAACAGATCAAAGACGCATTTGTTTCAATGGTACAAGAAATAGCAAGCTCCACTAAAAACCCATCATGGTTATTTCTAATGCCATGGATACATTTTCTCTCCGACTGGAGTAAACCTTTTGAGGTTCCTTCATTTGATGTGAGACATGATAATGATGATCCTGTATGGTGGGGAATCTCTAAAACCATAGACAGTGCTCTTGAGTATTTCACTGGCAAGTCAGGAAAATGGGACATGTAAGTACAATAAAAAAAGAGAATTTCAGAGTTATAATAGGGACTAATAGTTATTCTTTTTTTTGCACAATCTCAATGTGTATCATGGAACATAAGCCAAAATTGTCAATAGACTTCATCCCCTGACAGTAGAATAAGTCTAATTAATGTGAATGCTTCCTGTTGGGCATTTTTGCATTTGAAATAAACTGCATCTAATTGTAATAATGAGCCACATGAGTTATTTATCTTTCATGCAACATAAATTATAAAATCAAAGGGAATTGTGGCAAAATTCAAACTTATTTGGACTTTCACTGATTCACTCACTACCCTTGGATTGTCATAATGTCACTTAAGGTAAACAAACTACACAATATGTATATAATTAATGTACAAGATATTACATATTACCATATGTTAATAAGTCTGCATTCACATGGCTTTGTTCCAATGGATTTTGCTATATATCCATTAGATGAGGAAACACCAAATATGGATGTGTTCCTATAATATAATGTATGTAACTGCTAACAGGATTGTCCAACTGTATGACCAGCAATTAAAGTCATTTTTAGCTCAACTTTTTTTTCAACTAAAAAAATATACAGGTATTAAAGTCATGTCTGTGTTGCCCTTGGCTCAACCCTCATACATAAATTTTGTGTTACAACGGTTCAATTTAGAATAGTTCGATGGAATTGATTTTGATACATTTCTCAGTCATGAATATATATTTTGCTTTAATTTTGTCAGTATTGAATTATGACAATTTTAGATCAATTGAGAATGTATTGGGTATATTGGAGCCAATGTTTGAGGTGGATTATCTCCTTCCACGAACATTCCTTACAGCAATAGGGCTAAAAGATTTGGAGTTTGTGATCAAAACAGGAAAACTTCCTGTTGAAGCTTGCCTTGGAAACTTGATTTTTTGGATGAAAAAGACAAGACCAAAAATGTCTTCCTTTTATTCAAATACAGAAGAAAAAGTGAGTCTTATATTTCTTTTATCTTTTACAATATTGAGCACTCTTGATTTTGTCGAAATTTCTTTTGTTCATCACAGAATATCAGTTTGGCTGATGGCACTTCAAATAGTTAACATTAAACTGTTTAAAAGTGAAGTGATGTATTGAAACTTTTTATAAAATAGCTAACAAAATTGTCCTTATAAAATCACTTATAAATCACTTATCTCACAATCATATTTTAAAAATTTACATGGATTTTTTTTATGCACAACAAAGTCACTAAATATATATTCGCTAAATTTAGATTACTTCAAAAATTACATATATTGCTGTACAAGAAAATAACTGAAAAACAGTATTTTGAGAAAAAAAAAAGCCACTGTTAAAATAAATCTTCAAATGCTTGCTCCACTGCATGATCATTTGTAATTGATTGTTTCCTTAGTTAGGACGTTTTGAAGGAAGACATTAATGTGGGTCACTACTACCACTCTGTTAATAGTCTGAGACCATTAATAAATTAATAATCTTTACATTTCTAGTTAAAAGAAATTTAAGTCATCTTGGGCCATATTATGGATATACACATGTACTTGAAAAATTCATCGATTAATTTTAGTTTTATTATGTTGCAGAATGTGACTGAGTCTTTACTTGCCCTACAAAGGATGATAGATACAATACAAAGGTATTTATATCAGTATTATTTAGTTAAAAACAATTTATAAATCAACCACTGTTATTGTACTAAAACTTGTTGAGATCTTGGCCTGTTTATGATTTTTATACCCCCACCACAAAATGGGGGGGGGGGGCTATAATGGATTCGCTTTGTTGCGCCAGTCGGTCGGTCAGTCCGTCCGTCTCCATTTTCGTGTCCGCTCTATAACTCCTATACCTATTGAAGAATTTTCTTCAAACTTGGCTCAAATGTTCACCTCAACAAGGGGATGTGCTGAACCCATGTTGCCCATGCGTCAGGTCAAGGTCACAATTGAAGGTCAAATATCAAACAATCAAATATTAGACAGTATGTTGTGTCCGCTCTGTAAGTCTTACACTAATTGAAAGATTTTCTTCAAACTTGGCTTAAATGTTCACCTTAACAAGGGGATGTGCAGAACCCATGTTGCCCATGTGTCAGATCAATGTCAAGATCACAATTGAAGGTCAAATATCAAACAATCAAATATTAGACAGTAGGTCGTGTCCGCTCTGTAAGTCCTACACTAATGGAAAGATTTTCTTCAATCTGCTCAAATGTTCACCTCAACAAGGTTATGTGCAGAACCCATGTCACCCTTTTGCCGGCTTAAGGTCAAGGTCATACTTGAAGGTCAAAAATTGACTTAGAAAATATTCTTTAATTTAACATGTACTTGAATATTTCTGAAACTAGCACAAATATTTGCTTGAAACTTAAAAGATATATGAGATGTCATAAATAAGATAAGCAGGTCAAGTTTCATAACTCTGTATTGCATTTTGACAAAGTTATGCCCCTTTTTAAGTCTTTAAATTTACATACAATCAATACTAGACAATATGTTGTGTCCGCTCTATAAATTAAATACTAATGGAAGGATTTTCTTCAAACTTTACTCAACTGTTCACCCCAACTGGGCAATGTGCAGAACCCATCTTACTCTTGTGCCTGCTTAAGGTCAAGGCCACACTTGAAGGTCAAAAATTGACTTAGAAAATGTTTAGTACATTGGGAAAATGAAAGGTTATTTGTAACTGTTTTGAACATTACCTGTACAATTAGTCTTTTTTTCACCAGAGACAATTTCTTTTTATGTATATGTATTTGTGCCACTAAAGTTATTCCCTTAACCACCTTTCCAAGTCGTCTTATGTCAAGGACATTGGTGGGGGTATGAATCGCATTCAGCGATAGTTCTAGTTGCTTCTTTTGTTACACAGTAGCTACAATTGGCTATCATCAGGCAACACATGAGATCACCGGTTGCTCTTGTTATGATTTAAAAATTGCCAACTTTTGTCAACTTTTGTCACTCATAAAGTTCGATGTTTTTGGTTTAATTTAGATTAAAAATTTGAAGCTTGAATTTTTGAGAATGATGACGTAACACAAGTTGTCATTTTGATATCATCTATTCATATGCTCTTTGAAATCATCTATAATTTTAAATAAACCAAAATTTAGAATGACAAGGTAAAATTAATTGCTTGTGAAAACATTTTATAAGAAATAACTGTACATTTTTTAGCTCACCTGAGCATGCTCAGGGTGAGCTTTTAGGATTGATGATTGTCCGTCGTCCGTCGTCCGTCCGTTCACATTTTGTTGTTAACACTCTAGCGGTCGCATTTTTGCCTCAATCATCATCAAACTTGGTCAGGATGCTTATCTAGTTGATAGCTCGAATGAGTTCGAACATGGGTCATTTCGGATGAAAAAGTAGGTCACCGGAGCTAAAAAAAGAAAAACCTTGTTAACACTCCAGCGGTCACATTTTTGCCTCAATCATCATCAAACTTAGTCAGGATGCTTATCTAGTTGATAGCTAGGATGAGTTCGAACATGGGTCATCTCGGATGAAAAACTAGGTCACAAGAGCTAAAAATAGAAAAACCTTGTTAACACTCTAGAGGTCACATTTTTGCCTCAATCATCATCAAACTTGGTCAGGATGTTTGTCTAGGTGATAGCTTGGATGAGTTTGAACATGGGTCATCTCGGATGAAAAAGTAGGTCAACAGAGCTAAAAATAGAAAAACCTTGTTAACACTCTAGCGGTCACATTTTGGCATCAATCATCAACAAACTTTGTCAGGAAGCTTGTCTAGGTGATAGCTCGAATGAGTTCGAACATGGGTCATCTCTGATGAAAAAGTAGGTCACTGGAGCTTAAAATAGAAAAACCTTGTTAACACTCTAGCGGTCACATTTTTGCCTCAATCATCATCAAACTTAGTCAGGATGCTTGTCTAGGTGATAGCTTGCATAAGTTCAAATATGGGTCATCTCAGATGAAAAACTAGGTCACAGGAGCTAAAAATAGAAAAACCTTGTTAACACTCCAGCGGTCACATTTTTGCCTCAGTCATCATCAAACTTGGTCAGGATGCTTATCTATTTGATAGCTCGGATGAGTTCGAACATGGGTCATCTCGGATGAAAAACTAGGTCACAAGAGCTAAAAATAGAAAAACCTTATTAACACTCTATCGGTCACAATTTTGCCTCAATCATCATCAAACTTGGTCAGGATGTTTGTCTAGTTGATAGCTTGGATGAGTGTGAACATTGGTCATCTCGGATGAAAAACTAGGTCACAGGAGCTAAAAATAGTAAAATCTTGTTAACACTCTAGTGGCTACTGTTTTGATCCAAATATCCTGTAAATTGGTCTGAAAGTTTGTTTTGATGATTTCTAAGTCAAGTTCGAACATGGGTCATCTCGGATGAAAAACTAGGTCACATCGCCCAAATATGGAAAAACCTTGTTAACATTCTAGTGGTCACATTTTCCACTCAATTATCATCATACTTGGTCAGGATGCTTGTCTAGGTAATTGCTTGGATGAGTTCGAAATTGCATGTGAAACTAGGTCACTGGAGCTAAAAATAGAAAAATCTTGTTAACACTCTAGTTGCTACAGTTTTGATCCAAGTATCCTGGAAATTGGTCTGAAAGTTTGTTTTGATGATTTCTAGGTCAAGTTTGAATATGGGTCACCTGGGTAAAAAACTAGGTCACACTGCTCAAATATGGATAATCCTTGTTAACACTGTAGTGGTCACTTTTTTGACTCACCTGTCATGAGACTTGGTCAGAATGCTTGTCTAGGTAATTGTTTGGATGAGTTTGATGGGTCAGGTGAGCGATCTAGGGCCATCATGGCCCTCTTGTATTTGCTATAATACTGCTTGACGCTAGGTGATAAGTCAAATGTTTAAAATACTTTGACCAAAAAAAAATGTTGAACTGTCAAGTTACATGTTTTTGTTTGTTTTGTTTATTTCAGCAAAGAAACTGTCAACAGTCAGCAGAAAAGAATGAGCTGTTACTTTTCTCAGCAACTTGTATTAGAGAGCATCAACACAGATAAAGTATATATGGTCCTATATTCTGTTGGAATCTTACAACAAACTCTGTCTGCTTTTGAAATCACTAATGATAAAAAATCAGATAACGAAAGAAAATATTCATTGACAATACTGTTGAATTGTCTGCCAGAAGTAATAAAGTGGATGGATGTAAACATGTGGAATTGGTATCTATACATGGAGAATGTCCTTGCGGTAAATATATTTTTTTTGAGGTTGATCATTTTGAAAATCTCTAATCATTTGGATATCTTTTTAGCTCACCTGAGCATGCTCAGGGTGAGCTTTTAGGATCGATGATTGTCCGTTGTCCGTTCACATTTAGTTGTTAACACTCTAGCAGTCACATTTTTGCCTCAATCATCATCAAACTTGGTCAGGATGCTTATCTAGTTGATAGCTCGGATGAGTTCGAACATGGGTCATCTCGGATGAGAAACTAGGTCACAAGAGCTAAAAATAGAAAAACCTTGTTAACACTCTAGCGGTCACATTTTTGCATCAATCATCATCAAACTTGGTCAGGATGCTTGTCTAGGTGATAGCTCGGATGAGTTCGAACATGGGTCATCTCGGATGAAAAAGTAGGTCACCAGAGCTAAAAATAGAAAAACCTTGTTAACACTCTAGCGGTCACATTTTTGCATCAATCATCATCAAACTTGGTCAAGATGCTTGTCTAGGTGATAGCTCGGATGAGTTCGAACATGGGTCATCTCGGATGAAAAAGTAGGTCACCGGAGCTAAAAATAGAAAAACCTTGTTAACACTCTAGCGGTCACATTTTTGCATCAATCATCATCAAACTTGGTCAGGATGCTTATCTAGTTGATAGCTCGGATGAGTTCGAACATGGGTCATCTCGGATGAAAAAGTAGGTCACCAGAGCTAAAAATAGAAAAACCTTGTTAACACTCTAGCGGTCACATTTTTGCATCAATCATCATCAAACTTGGTCAAGATGCTTGTCTAGGTGATAGCTCGGATGAGTTCGAACATGGGTCATCTCGGATGAAAAAGTAGGTCACCGGAGCTTAAAATAGAAAAACCTTGTTAACACTCTAGCGGTCACATTTTTGCATCAATCATCATCAAACTTGGTCAGAAGCTTATCTAGTTGATAGCTCAGATGAGTTCGAACATGGGTCATCTCGGATGAAAAAGTAGGTCACCAGAGCTAAAAATAGAAAAACCTTGTTAACACTCTAGCGGTCACATTTTTGCATCAATCATCATCAAACTTTGTCAAGATGCTTGTCTAGGTGATAGCTCGGATAAGTTCGAACATGGGTCATCTCGGATGAAAAAGTAGGTCACCGGAGCTAAAAATAGAAAAACCTTGTTAACACTCTAGCGGTGAGATTTTTGCATCAATCATCATCAAACTTGGTCAGGATGCTTATCTAGTTGATAGCTCGGATGAGTTCGAACATGGGTCATCTCGGATGAAAAACTAGGTCACAAGAGCTAAAAATAGAAAAACCTTGTTAACACTCTAGTGGTCACATTTTTGCATCAGTCATCATCAAACTTGGTCAAGATGCTTGTCTAGGTGATAGCTCGGATGAGTTCGAACATGGGTCGACTCGGATGAAAAACTAGGTCACCGGAGCTAAAAATAGAAAAACCTTGTTCACACTCTAGCAGTCACATTTTTGCATCAATCATCATCAAATTTGATCAAGATGCTTGTCTAGGTGATAGCTCGGATGAGTTCGAACATGGGTCATCTCGGATGAAAAACTAGGTCACAGGAGCTAAAAATAGAAAAACCTTGTTAACACTCAAGTGGTCACAATTTTGACTCAATTGTCATCAAACTTGGTCAGGAAACTTGTCTAGGTCATTGCTGGGAATAAATCAACATGGGACATCTGGGATGAAAAACTAGGTCACAGGAGCTAAAAATAGAAAAATCTTGTTAACACTCTAGTGGCTACTGTTGTGATCCAAATATTCTGTTAATTGGTCTGAAAGTTTGTTTTGATGATTTCTAAGTCAAGATCGAACATGAGTCATCTTGGATAAAAAACTACGTCACACCGCCCAAATATGGAAAAACCTTGTTAACATTCTAGTGGTCACAATTCGACTCAATTATCATCAAACTTGGTCAGGATGCTTGTCTAGGTAATTGCTTGGATGAGTTCGAAATTGCATGTGAAACTAGGTCACTGGAGCTAAAAATAGAAAAATCTTGTTAACACTTTAGTTGCTACTGTTTTGATCCAAGTATCCTGGAAATTGGTCTGAAAGTTTGTTTTGATGATTTTTAGGTCAAGTTTGAATATGTGTCACCTGGGTTAAAAACTAGGTCGCACTGGTCAAATATGGATAATCCTTGTTAACACTGTAGTGGTCACATTTTTGACTCACCTGTCATGAGACTTGGTCAGAATGCTTGTCTAGCTAATTGTTTGGATGAGTTTGATAAGTCAGGTGAGCGATCTAGGGCCATCATGGCCCTCTTGTTAAAATTGTAGGAAGAAACTATATGGTCAGGTTTATGATAAAATTTAATTTTTAATGTGAGAATTTGCAACATCTTTTCCATCACTTAAGTGAAATTTTATATATGTATATAATTATTCTTCTAAAACAATTTTCAAACATCGAAGAATAAAACATCAAAGAATATGTAAAATATGAACAACCAATATTTGTCCCCATTATATGTAATCATTTAAATATATACTTTCATTTCTTATTGAAAAATTTGACTTGGACTTAAAAGAAAATAAATTTCTAATTACCTCCCTTTATTAACATGAAATGTAAATTTGGTAATATCTTTACAAATAATGCTTTTTGGAACTTACAATATTGATAAATCTTCATTTGAGCATTATATTTATGATATAAAACAATAAAAACAAATGAGTTACAGGATCTAAAAGTGAGAGAGTTAAAGGTCATATAGATTTGCTTTAAAAAAAAGTTTTAAATCCTCCATTTTTAATAGGATCAGATGTTTTGTATCTTGGTTTTAGTTTCAATTGCAAACTGTCATACCACATTTATTGCCGTTTGGCATAGAAAATATTTAAGCATCCCACATGAAAGTGAACAATTTTACACAGTAAGTTAACATTTTTGTTATGGAGTCCCTAAAGTTAACTTTACATATATGTATGTTAGAATGAGAGGTTGTGCAGTTTTGCTTAGGTTCTATTAAATTGCTCTGCCAAATTTGATAAAACTTGTCTAAGATGTATTTAAGATTTTTTTTTTTAATTAAGTGAGTAAGCTCCATTTAATATCCAGGTCAGAGGAGCTGAAAAAATATTTTAAAAATATCAAGTTTTTTAAATATTATCCAAAACCATATAAAACTCAGATAATGAAGGTGTAGACAACATGTCATGCGCAACACCTAGACTCCTACCCCAAAGGTCAAGGTTATACACTTTGAGGTCAAAGCCTAAAATAGTATGACAGGGTATGATTCCAAATCAGGTCCATGCAAATAAAAGGGTAAATTGACCTGTTATAGGGTATATTTTGTTTCCAGTGCATAACTTTCTCATCCATCAAGGGATTTTGAAAATACTCTGCATAAATGTTGACAATAATAAGAGGATGTGTCATGCTTAACACCCGGACCCTTTTCTCCAAGGTCAAGGCCACACTTATAGGTCAAAGCTTTACATGATCTTTTATAGGATATATTTTGTGTGCAGTCCATATTTTTTTTATTGTTCTAGGTATTTTAAAATTACTTGGCAAAAATGTTCACAATAATGGGACCATGTATCATATGCAACAGCCAGACTCCTACCTTCAATGTCAAGGTCATACTTGAGTGCCAAAGCTTAACATGGTCTGTTCTAGGGTATGTTTTGTATGCTGTATATAATTTTTTTATCATTCAAGGGAATTTGAAATAACAAATGTTAACAATGGCATGTCCTGCACAACACATAGACCCCTACCTCAAAGGTAAAGGTCACACTTGGAATTCAAGGTCTAAAATAGTCTGTTACAGGGTAACATGTCAAGTCAGGCCCATGCAAATAAATTGGAAAATTGCCCACATACCTTGATTAATGACTGGGCATGAAATATACCCTGTAACAGACCATATCCTGTATTGATTTTGTATTTTGCATTATATGGCTTTGGAATAGTGATAACAAGTATACAAATGTATTCCTGTTGACACATACACAGGAATATTTTTGTTATATTTCTTTAATGAATTTATTGTTACTGGCATGTGCAGACCTAGCTTTGATCAAAATTTTGCACTGAAAGTCCAAATTCATACCTCAATCTTTTGAAATAGAGCAATTTTGTGTTTCATGTAAAATTCCCTTAGGCAGGGGACGTTGGTAACTCTGTTACAAATTCTTGTTTATCATGATCCTGGTTTTAAAATAGGCCCTGCCTTGTCCTGGTGTTGATTTTATATAGTCTTATTATGGGAAATATTTTAAAAAAGCTCATCAATAACAGTAAGGCATAAAGTTTAGATATTTTGAATGTAGCCTAGCATAATGAAATTTTTGTTGAAAGGATTTGAAAATTATATCTGGATCAAAATTTTGTTTTTATCTGTGGTTTTATCTACTTGTTATTGTTCTTTTTGTGGCAATGAGGTAGCTGCATAAGGGGATAAAGTGCTAGCTAGTTTTATCTATGGCATTTATAAATGAAACTTTAAAAGCTGTTTTCATGTCATATGTATAATTTTGTTGTAGGGATGGAACCATCTATATGCACCAGAGAAACTTCGGTCTGACACAGTGAAGGAAAGATGGAATACTGGAATTACAAAAGCTCTTACAGAAAGATTGCAAAATAGGGTGAAATAGCTTGATATTTCATACTGCTTAAGTGGACTGATTGTTTACTTTTTTCTTCTGTTATATCATTCTTATCTCTTATCAAAGATAGAGGGATGTAGATTTGGTGCCAGTTTGTCTTTCCATCTGTCTGGTGAACATTATGAAATTTTCACTGATGGAAATTAATGGCACATAGAATTTAAACAATTTTAGTTTGGAACATAAAACTTTGTATGTGGTTACATCTATGTCGGAAGAAGTGCTATGCATAAGAAGCTTAATTCTCCTTTGCATAATTTAAGATTATTGCCCTTTCTATTTTTTATGCCACCGCAGCATCTGCGATGCGGTGGCATATAGCGATTCACCTGTGTGTGTGTGTGTGTGTGTTTGTTTGTTTGTGTGTTATATAGATTATATAGTGAACTTAAAAAATCTTCTTGTGAATAACCACTAATCCAATTTAAACCAAACTTGGCAGGATTGATCCTTGGGTGAAGGGCTTCCAAAGTTGTTCAAAGAATTTCTTTCCATGCAGAAATCTGGTTGCCATGGCAACCAAATGGAATTATAAGAATAAATTGAAAAAATCTTCTTGTAAAGACCCAAAAGGCCTAGAGCTAAGATATTTTGCATAAGGCATTGTCTGGTAGACCCTTACCAAGATTGTTCAAATTATAGCCCTGAGGTCAAAATCGGCCCCGCCCCAAGGGTCATTGATTTTCACTCTATGTACATATAGTAAAAACTTAAAATACCTTCTTGTAAATACCCAAAAGCTTAGATATTTTGCATAAGGCATTGTCTGGTAGACCTCTACCCAGATTGTTCAAATTATAGTCCTGGGGTCAAAATCGGCCCCGCCCCGGGGGTCATTGTTTTTCCTTTTATGTATAAAGTAAAAACTTATAGTAAAAACTTTAAAAAATTTCTTCTAGCAATTGACAAATGCTAGAGGTTAGATACTTTGCATGAAACTTTGTGTAGTGAACCTCTAGCAAGATTGTACAAATTATAGCCCTGAGATCAAAATTGGCCCACCCCCATGGGTCATTGATTTTCACTATGTACATAATAGTAAAAATTTTAAAAAATCTTCTTGTCTGAAGGTACAAGCCTTAGAGCTTTGATATTTGGTATATAATATCTATGGGTCCTATACTAAAGTTATTTTAATTATGCCCCTAGTGTTAAAAATGCCCTGCCCCAGAGGCGATAGTTTTCCTTATATGTATAAAGTAAAAACTTGAAAAATCTTCTTCTCTGAATTGACAAAGGCTTAGAGAGGTTAAATATATGGCATGAGACTTTGCGTAGTGAACCTTTACCAAGTTCAAATTATAGCCCTGGGGTCAAAATTGGTTCCGCCCCGGGGTTATTGATTTTCATGATATACAAATAGTAAAAAAAAATAAAAAATATTTTTGTCTGAAGGTACATGGCATAGAGCTTTGATGTTTGCTATATAATATCATCTATAGGTACTCTACCAAAGTTGTTAAAATTTTTCACCTTGTGTCAGAATTGACCCTGCTCGGGGGCAGTGATTCTCATTATGTACACATAGTAAAAACAGAAAATAAAACAAATGTTTTCTGAATGGGAGAAAGCTACAGCTTAGATATTTGACTTGAAATGTTGTTTGGTGGACCTGTATCAAGATTGTTTTGAATTAAACCCTTGGGTCAAAATTTTGCCTTGCCCAAGGGGACAGTGACCTACTTTCTTGTCCTTTTATGTACAGCAATGAAATTTTGACCATGTGCACAGTTTAAGTTGTAAAATTGAACTTTGATATCAAGTGACCTAGATTTTGATGATGTGACCTACTTTCTTGTCCTTTGATGTACATCTATTAAGTTTGAACCATGTGCACAGATTAAGATGTAAAGTGAACTTTATATCAGCAGACCTAGATTTTGACAAAGTGTCTTACTGTGTTGTCCTTTGATGTAGTCATGAAATTTAGGCTGTGTGAAATATGACCTTCACCACCAAATTCACTAGACTCAGGTGCATTGATATATTCCTACTCTGATCTTTTATTGGGTTAACAATAGATTTAACCACTAATCTGATAATAAGAATTAGATAGGTCAGGGATCTATGCATTATGACAATCTTCAATTGTATAGAAACAAAATAAATCTGTTCCTACACTACTATTTTGTGTTGTATTAATGCGGTGGCATAGCATTTTTCTCAAATGCAATCTTGTTGGTCTATGTCTAACTCTTTAACATACTTAATTCTCCTTTGCATAATTTTAGATTATTGCCCTTTCTATTTTTTTGTCCAGTGTGGAACTAATGAAGTATTTGAGATATTTCAAAGCTGTATTTATCACATCAATGAGAAGCATACTATTTTAGAATGCTAACTCTCTTCTTTAATTATGAGTTAAGAGTTATTGCCCTTATTAAGGAGATGATATGCTTGTTACAGATCACCTTATCAATAAAGCAATTAAATGTATTTGTAGTCAGTATTTTCAGAAGTTTTTATGCCACCGCAGCATCTGCGATGCGGTGGCATATAGCGATTCACCTGTGTGTGTGTTTGTTTGTGTGTGTGTGTGTTATATAGATTATATAGTGAACTTAAAAAATCTTCTTGTGAAAAACCACTAGTCCAATTTAAACCAAACTTGGCAGGATTGATCCTTGGGTGAAGGGCTTCCAAAGTTGTTCAAAGAATTTCATTCCATGCAGAAATCTGGTTGCCATGGCAACCGAAAGGAATTATAAGGATAAATTTAAAAAATCTTCTTGTAAAGACCCAGAAGGCCTAGAGCTTAGATATTTTGCATAAGGCATTGTCTGGTAGACCTCTACCAAGATTGTTCAAATTATAGCCCTGGGGTCAAAATCGGCCCCGCCCCAAGGGTCATTGATTTTCACTATATGTACATATAGTAAAAACTAAAAATACCTTCTTGTAAAGACCCAAAAGGCCTAGAGCTTAGATATTTTGCATAAGGCATTGTCTGGTAGACCTCTACCCAGATTGTTCAAATTATAGCCCTGGGGTCAAAATGGGCCCCGCCCCGGGGGTCATTGATTTTCACTGTATGTACATATAGTAAAAACTTAAAATACCTTCTTGAAAAGACCAAAAAGGGCTAGAGCTTAGATATTTTGCATAAGGCATTGTCTGGTAGACCCTTACCAAGACTGTTCAAATTATAGCCCTGGGGTCAAAATTGGCCCGGCCCCAGGGGTCATTGATTTTCACTATATGTAAATATTGTTAAAACTTAAAATACCTTCTTATAAGGACCCAAAAGGCCTAGAGCTTAGATATTTTGCAGAAGGCATTGTCTGGTAGACCTCTACCCAGATTGTTCAAATTATAACCCTGGGGTCAAAATCAACCCTGCCCCGGGGGTCATTGGTTATCCTTACATGTATATAGTAAAAATTTACCGTAAAAACTTTTAAAAAAATCTTCTAGTAATTGACAAATGCTAGAGGTAAGATATTTTGCATGAAACATAGTGTAGTGAAGCTCTAGCAAGATTGTTCAAATTATAACCCTGGGGTCAAAATTGGCCCCACCCCTAGGGGTCATTGATTTTCACTATGAACATAGAGTAAAAATTAAAAAATCTTCTTATCTGAAGGTACAAGGCTTAAAGCTTTGATATTTGGTATATAATATCATCTTTGGGTCCTCTACTAAAGTTGTTTTAATTATGCCCCTAGTGTTGAAATTGCCCTGCCCCAGAGGCGCTAGATTTCCTTATATGTATAAAGTAAAAACTTGAAAAATCTTCTTCTCTGAATTGACAAAGGCTAGAGTTGAAATATATGGCATGAGACTTTGCGAAGTGAACCTCTACCAAGATTGTTCAAATTTTAGCCCTGGGGTCAAAATTGGTTCCGCCCCGGGGGTCATTGATGTACATTATGTATATCTAGTAAAAAAATAAAAAATATTTTTGTCTGAAGGTACAAGGCATAGAGCTTTCATGTTTGCTATATAATATCATCTATAGGTCCTCTACCAAAGTTATTCAAATTTTTCCCCTGGTGTCAAAACTGGCCCTGTCCAGGGGCATGATTCTCATTATGTACACATAGTAAAAACAGAAAATAAATCAAATGTTTTCTGAATGGGAGAAAGCTTCAGCTTAGATATTTGACTTGAAATGTTGTTTGGTGGACCTGTATCAAGATTGTTCTGAATTAAACCCTTGGGTCAAAATTTTGCCTTGACCAAGGGGACAGTGACCTACTTTCTTGTCCTTTGATGTACAGCAATGAAATTTTGACCATGTGCACAGTTTTAGTTGTAAAATTGAACTTTGATATCAGGTGACCTAGATTTTGATAATGTGACCTACTTTCTTGTGCTTTGATCTACAGCTATGAAAATTTGAACCATGTGCACAGATTAAGATGTAAAGTGGACTTTGATATCAGCTTACCTAGATTTTGACAAAGTGTCTTACTGTGTTGTCCTTTGATGTAGTCATGAAATTTGGCTGTGTGAAATATGACCTTCACCACCAAATTCACTAGACTCAAGTGCATTGATATATTCCTGCTCTGATCTTTTATTTGATTAACAATAGATTTAATCACTAATCTGATAATAAGAATTAGATAGGTCAGGGATCTATGCATTATGACAATCTTCAATTGTATAGAAACAAAAAAAAATCTGTTCCTACACTACTATTTAGTGTTGTATTAATGCGGTGGCATAGCATTTTTCTCAAATGCAATCTTGTTTTTTTTTTTTTAAAGCTGAAGTCATGGTTAACTTAAACTCTTCCCAGTCCATCATACAAATGTATAAGATATTGTTATAGAACCTTTTTGTATATACTTTTTTGAAATCTTGATTGATTGATTGACTTTAAAATATATTCTTGTTGTAAACATGAAAATAAAAATGACAAAATTATTTTCATCAGTATTTTATTGTAATAATAATAATAATAATAATAATGAAAGTTTGATATTGGTAAATCAGTATAACTATGAACCATTGTGATATTTCCTAGGTTTGCACTGACAAGACAAAAATGACAACTTTTGTTCAACTATATTGCCAGAAAGTAGATTCTTTCCATCCAGGCATGCAAGACTGCATGAGTAAAACAGCCTTCAAGGTATGTGTTGTTTATTATTTGTGAAACAATGATAAACTTTTTTTGCATGAATTAGACTAAGTTTTTGCATTATCTCTCTGTTCAACTTCCTGCGTATAGAAAATATAGTTTAAAAGTATGATTAAAATTTGCATGTATACTAAAGCTGGTATTTTATATATATTTGAGTGTTCATATTCTATGTACTCTAACATTTATGTTGCTATAATGTCAATCTGGTCAGACCAGAGCAATAACCATATATATATAAGTTACCAGTTAATAATACTTTTTTGTGCTCCCACTATAGGGGGGGGGGGGGGGGGGGGCATTTAGATTTACCCCTGTCCGCCTGTCGGTGTGTCAGTATGCCCATCTCATGTTGTATGGCATGCAGGTCAAAAAGTATTTGAAAAAGAGTCATGAAACTTGTCAGCATGTGTTACTGCTTATATTTATGTAATTCATTTTTCACGACAGTTTTCTCCATGTAACTGTATATTTTGTGTCAATATCAAATTTGTTATAATGCTGTTTTATGTAAATAATTTTTGTTCTTGTAGGCCATTGAGAATGGATATGCACTTGATTATCGCCGCTTCAATGAATATGAAATACAGAAATTTGGAGACCTTCTTTCACATCTATTTCTGAAAGAATGGGACAAAAGTATAAAAACAAGGGATACAGAAAAAGACAGTCTTCAACATTTTCTCAAGTGGCCGCCATTTTTGCAGTTTGTGAAAATATATGGTAAGATAAGACTTTTGAAACATAAAGTACTTGTTTCAGTTGCCTATTAATAACATATTTCAGCCATCTTAAATTGTATAAAAGGAGATTGAGAAAGTATTGCCATCATTCTTATACAGGGAATAAAATAAAATGAAAAGTGTTTATCAATTTTCTATTTAATAAGGGATGAATATTCAATTAAGTTAAAACTTGTTAAACATTGTTTAATAAGGGTAATTGTTGTATTATGTTCATGACTCATATTGCTATGTAATGTTAAATAACATATTTAATTTAAACACAGCTGAAGATCAGAAGAAGATGAATCTTCTGTCACAAGAATGTGTGGGAAGGTTGATTCAGGCCGTCTCTGTTATACAAAGTTGTGTCACATCACTGTTGTCTGGAGAAATCACTGTTGGCAACCTTTTGCTAATCCAGTCAAAAGACATTAATTTCCCAGAGCTTGCAGAGTTGGTAAAATTGGAAAAGGCACATACTAAGGACTTCATAGCTAAAGCAATTCAGATAAGACAAAAGGAGATGGAGGCCTTTCACAAACAGGCAGACTTAATGATAACACTAACTTCTATGTGCCAACACCTTGGGAATGGTAAATTTCAGATAACATTTCATTTCTGATATTTTTTCAAATTATATAAATTTCCAATTTCAGTGATACCAAGATATAAGTAAGAAACACATAATTTTATGATAGTCTATGTGTCTAAATGACATATGTTTATGCTTTAGTCTAAATGACATATGTTTATGCTTTTGAAATGATACCAAATTTTGAACTTAAGCATGCATTATTGATTTATTTTTATGAAACAATTTCTGTGTAAAGCCTTTGTGTTTTGAAAATTTTAACATTTTGACTACATGTATGTAATATGATTTTTGTGTTTTAAAAAATAGTTGATAAATAATTTGCATGTTATATCAACTGTGTTCATCTTGCTAAATTTGTTATAGTAACATGAAGTTTTGCTATTATTGAACTTGATGAATTCTTTTATTTTTTTCAAAACAGCTGATACAAGGGCAGTGGACAATACTTTACAAAAACAAAAACACATTGAAGTTCATAAAGTGAATGAATTCTGTGTACCTGCTGACTTGAGTAAAGAGACAAACATGGAGACATTTCAACCAAAGCTGTGTGCCTTTAAAGTGTCACAGACTGTGCTAGAGATTTTACCCAGTCTACAGGTGTGCAGCGAGAGCAGTACCTTCATGAAGTTCTGGACAGCTGAGTGTCAAAGTGACAAAAGTCATTCTCCAAACTTAGATGATGTTGTACCACAAATTTGGACAGCTGCCAAAAAAAGGTTTAAAATTTATTTTGAAAGTCTAAAAAACAGTCTTTTTAAGACTTATGAATATAGAAGAAATATGGAATGTCAATATAAAAAGGTTGTTGTTTTTATAGCAAATTATGTCTGTTTTTGTGTGTGTTCTGTGTGTGTGCACACATGCGTCTGTTATTAAGATTATATAGTTTACTTAAAAAGTCCTCTTCTTAAAAACCACAAGTCTGATTTCAACCAATCTTGCCAGAAATGTTTCTTGGGCAAAGGACATTCAAAAAAAAAGATTTTGTTTCATGCTGAAATAAAGCCTAGAGTGTAGATTTTTTTCAAAAGGCATTGTCTTGATGAAAAGATTGATCTCAATTAGCTGACTAATAAGCAATTACTTGTTGCATTGAGCAAAAGTCGCTTAACACATTAAAGATATAGAGAGAAAATGATCGCATAATACGAAAGTCACCAGGTAATACATGTGGTTGCATGGGCCAGTTAGACTGTGGTTAAAAAATTCACCATCCTCTTCAAAACTACAAGGACTAGAGCTTGGATATTTGGCATGTCAAAACATTTTCTAAAGGACCTCTACCAAGATCATGAGTGGGTGGAGGGTATAGTCATTGGTTTCCCTTATTTGTTTAAAGTGAAAACCTATGATTCAGCAAATAAGTACATCTGCACATTGTCTTTCATATGACTTACTGAATTATGACCTTGACCTCCAAATTTTCTGGACACTACTGTATTATTGCTCATTCAATTCCATAGAAACAAAGAATGAACTACATTTACTTCTGTTCCTACTATTAAGTGTTGTATAAAGTCACAAATGTTATCTTGTTTCTAGATGGGATACGAGGGCAAAAAACATAAAGACAGGAGAGATAAAATTTCAAGACTTTGAGAAAATTCTTGGAAACATCTATAGAGAAGACTATGACAGAATGGCCATTGAGATGAAAACTCTCAAACTTACTGACAAAGAAGTGAAGAAACGTATTGATCAGTTGCAGAAGTATAGGCAGCTCGAAGCATGCACAAAGGGAGCTAAAACAATACTGAAGTTTGCAAAAGATTATAACTTAAAGGGTGATTTTGAGCAGATCAGAATTATTGCAACTGTAAGTGTTATTAGTACAGTCAAATTACTCAAGTCTATTCTTAATTTATTAGTTAAACTGCCATATACATTAGTTAAACTGCTATATAAGCCAAAAGATCTTCACTCTTGGCCACGCCTACTTTAGATAATCTATGAATGAAAAATCGTGCTTCCCGTGCGCCAAGGACATTGATAGTAAAAGCTGAAAAATTATTTCTCAACGGTGTATTGATTTTAAGTTTGTCCCGTTAGATTTTTATTTACCTATTCAATTTGTTTCTATAATTGAAGATACTTTATTTATTTAGAAAAAACAACCTTACTACTACCTTTATGCATTGTATCTTGTTAAATTGTTACGTACGAAAACTACTGTCCCCACCTTTTCCATATATTACTTACTTTCATTAAAGCTATATTCATTCTATGTTATTGGATATAGTTTGAAAATATAATTAAAACCCCCAGAATTAGAAAAAAATCTTTTTGATCATGTTGTTGCAGTTATGTGACCTGATTCTGAATTAAAGTATTTGTTGTTGTTGTTGTTGTTGTTGTACAAGTTTGAACCTTCTGCTTTTGTTGAATATAACAGTGTTAATGTTCCTGTAAAGTTTATAGTAAATGTATGTTGAAATGTGTAGTAAAGGAATAAATGTAATAAATGTTGATATTTACAGCATGGTGAAAATGATCTAGAGATGAGATCATTTGATGAGAGTGTGATGAATGCCTGTGATTTCCTCAAGCACCTTACACCACAGAGGGAGAAATGCCTAAAAATGTTTGTTCAATGCAGACCTTTAGTTCAGTGGTTGAAAGAATCAATGAAGAAAGGTAAGATTGAATATTTTACAAACTATTTAGTCAACAAAAACAGATAAATTTGTCAAATGAACAAAGGTAGTAGAGATATCTTGTATGGCATTCATTAAATGTTTCATTTGTCTGATCTAAACATTCATATGCGTTAATAAAATTTCCACAGAAGGATTTTTTGTATTTCATGACATTTTGTATTCCCCCCCCCCCCCCACTTTAGGGGTGGGGGGGGGGGATTTTGATGCCTGTGTCTGTCCTTGCGTCCGTCCGTTCTCATTTTGTGTCACACATAGCTTAAACAGTATTTGATATAGAGTCATGAAACTTTACAGAAATGTTGATCAGCTTGTGCAGTTGTGCACCTGGGTATTTTCGTGTGGATATATTTAATATTTTTAGAGTTTTTGCTCTTTATTTTGTAAAAATTTACAATTTTCAACTTTTGTTGCATGAGCTCAAAACGTATTTGTCCTAGAGTCGTGAAACTTTACAGGAATGTTGTTCAGCATGTGAAGTTGTGCACCTGGGGTTTCGCTTGGATACCTTACATTGCAATTTTCAATTTGTGTTGTGCGTTGCTCCAAATTTATTTAACCTAGAGTCATGAAACTTAACAGGAATGTTAGTCAGCATATGTAGTGCACCTTGGATTTTGCTTGTGGATTTATCCAGTATTTGTAGAGTTATTGCCCTTGACTTAGTAAAAACTGTTCCATTATGTTGTGTTATTTGTTCCTTGAGTGCTTGAGGTAGAATCAATCAACTTTGTAGGAATAATGATCAACATCACTGTGAAGCTATGCACCTGGGATTTTGCATGTGGATTTTTTTCAGTTTTGTTAGAGTTATTGCCCTTGACTTAGTATAAATTTGCAATTTTCAATTTGCTTGTGCATAGCTCTAAAAATATTTGACCTGTAGGCCTGAAAGTTTACAAAAATGTTGATCAGCATGTTTATTTATACACCTTTGGGTTCATTTGTGGATTTATTCAGTATTTGTAAAGTTTTTGCCCTTTACTTATTAAAAGATTTTTAGTTTCCAACTTGTTGCACATGTAGCCCAAAAAATATTTGACCTAGAGTCATAAGATTGACAAAATAGTGGAGTGTGGGGGCACCCGTGTCCTAAAGAAACATTTCTAGTTTTCTTTTTCTTTTCATGATTATAGCTGGATTAAAAGAGCTGAAGGTATTTGTTGACCTTGCCTTTATGTCAGCTGGTGATGAACCAATCAACATTGCTCGTGTTCAGTGTCTCCACTCAGCTGTGACAGGATATGCCCCACTTATATTTGACCTGGATGAGAATTGTGGTTACAAGGAACTTTTGAAACTTTGTGATGTTGTTTGGAAAGAACTTGAAGCAAATTCTAAGCTTCCAGATAAACTGGTAAGTTATTATTTTTTTGATTGTTCTAAATTTGTAATGAACAGTTTGAAAAATGAAAACTGGATAAGTTTATTTATGAAATTCAGAAGGTTGAGAGTTGCACAGAAAGTTGAGAGTGGAATTATCCAGTACTGGTATCAAATAGAGAAACATGGTAATGAATTCTTCTATGCCTAAAACCCAAAGACCCAGGGTTTAGATGCAAATATATTAACCACTGGGCCACACGTTTCCCCTTGATTGTGGTACTTGTATGAGAGTTGCTTTTGAATATTTAATTTGCATGTACATATTGTGTATCATTTCAGATATAAGTTGTATAAAATGTAAACTACTTGTCTTTATTCTACAGAAAGACACAAATAGACAGCTACAATGGCTTAAAGAAATCAAGAAAGCTCACGGTTCAGTAGAGGTTACCTCCCTTATGCAGGCTGAAGCTATTAATGCTAATGGAATATTTACAGTTGGTAAAAATGCATGGAAGAGAGATGCTGATGCACAGAAGATGGATGAAACTTTACTGGTACAGTAACATTTTGATTACATTATTTAAATATTTTTTTTTTAACTTGTTCTTTTACTTTCCATTATTTAGTTACTAATATGATTATTTTAATTGTTTATTGGAACAATGCTTATTATTGCATAGGCTGTGATGGACATTATAAAGCTAACAGTTCCGGAGAAAGAAGGCAAGAGTCAGTTAAGGAACTATACGTTCTCCCAATGTCAGGATCTACAGAGTAGACTAATGTTGGTGGCTGGGAAGGCAGAGATGGGTACTGATAGTGTGGACAGATTTACCATGGTAACAATATCTTAGCAACATTATAATAATTGTTTTTAATTGGTTTTGAGCTATATAGTAAAGCTTTGGATTGTTGTCATATTTGATTCTTTATGAGAATAACTGTTGCACTATATGAATAGATTTTAAGTATACACCATTCAGAGGCAGCCCATGTTATAATGAACAGATGAAATGTATATTTTCTGATTCAAACCGTCCAGTTAGCTAAATAGGTAGAGCATTGGACTGTGAATCTGGTGACCTGGGTTTGATTCCAAGATGGCACAGGTCACTTTTGTTGTGATTGGTTATTTCACTGTACCTCTGCTCTTGTATGTACGAAAGTAAATAGTTCCTTGTGAAAGTGAAGGCAACTAGTACTGGTAAATTGATTGACAGTCTGCCCAGAAATGATACAGTGGCTGAAATTCAAAATGTATAATTTCAGGGAAAAAGGCACATTTGTAAAATTCTTTTCTTCGAATTTTACTTTCATAAGTAGTAAAATGTTAACAAGCTGGAAAAAATACTTCAGAGTGTTTGGCAAATGTGATACAATGTATAGCATGTTTTACCTATTGTGTAACATGATATAATTAATCATTATATTTATATAGTGAAACTTCAAAATCTATATGTAACAGATAGCCTAGGTACTTTTCTTTTGTAAATTAAAACATTGCACATACAATTTGTATCTTTTCACAGATATTTGACAGTATAACCAGACTTAGCAATGTATACATGAAACTTTGTTCATCTGGATGTGTGCTGTTTAAAGACTGGACAGCAAGATTCCTGTGTTATCCTAAACCTGATCGTCCTGTTTGTGCCATACTAGAGTTTGGCCAAGGTGATAGTGTACCTCAGCTGAAGGTAAGTCTAAACATAATACTGGATTATTTGAGCCTGTATATTAATTTTATCAAATAAACCTAAAATACTCATAATTTCAGTGCAATGTATAATGCTTATCTTTAAGTGTTAAAAACAGTCAAAAAAGTTTTGTTTTGAAGCTAGATTTATGATCTAAATTAACCAACATTACAAAGGTCGTATGACAGCTTTAATGCTTTACTAGTGGACGGAAATTGCATGTGCTTCTTTATGAATTATTTCTGATACAAGTGGGCACTTGAATGAATCCAACATACCTTCAAAAACATAGCTTAAGAGGTTCTATGTATGAAATATTTCAAAGTATGTTGTAGAAATCAAACCCATAGCAATGATGTTTAAGTGCTCTGAAGCTTGATCTTGCAGGCTTCTTTTCATAGTTGTATTTACATAATCACAAGATTGTTTTCAGAAGTATTGTGGTTGATTTAGTACACTGCGCTTTGTGTTGTCCTTAGCGACAACACAACCTATATTGTTATCCCTTTTTTTGTTTTTCCTACCCACAACCTAAGAAAGCCAAATGCGCGTTGTCGCCCTTTTGGGGCCCCCCCCTTGTTGTCCCTGCCCCTGGGGGAACCCCCGGCCCCCGAAAAAATGTGCATTGCAAAAAATGCAGACGACAAGCCCATTTGATCTTACGAAGTAAAAGTCAACAAAAAGGGGTTTGGGGGGCACTTTGCCCTTTTTGTCACTAGCCCCAAAAAACCCACAAAACATTCCAATCAGCCCCCATACAGAACCTTTTAAAGTAAACTATTTAGTAAAATTTTTTTTGATGGTACTAAATTATTTTGACAAAAAGAAACAATCTAAACCCTGGGAACCCTTGACTTTTTCCATAGCAACAAATGAATTTTTATATACATGTAGCAACCCTTGACTTTCCCAAGCAACGAGTGACCTCTTTAGCAACCATTGACTTTCCATAGCAACCATTGACTTTCCATAGCAACCATTGATTGACCTTCCTTAGCAACCAGTGACCTTTTTAGCGACTGGTGACTTTCCATAGCAACCAGTGACTTTCCATAGCCACCAGTGACCTCTATAGCAACCATTGACTTCCATATAACTATTGTTATATAAGTTTTGTGTGATGGTAACTAATATATTGTTTTACTATAGGGAAGACGATCTGAGAGGGAGGACTTGAAGGATATAATTCCTGAACTAGCCAAGTTTATGGAATGTTGTCTTGATGAATGGCTGGATCATATTAAGGAGAAACGAAAGAACTATCTTCACTTGAACTACTACACTGTAGACCAACTTGTTATCCTTCAGAGAGAACTGGTTAAAATGGGAATAGAATCAGAGCCGTCACATCTCGTGTATCCTTTATTGTCTGCTGTAAAAGAGAATTGTACACCAGGTATTGTCTTATACTGAAATCTTTACTATCTCAAAGTTTTCAAAGAAATCTCAGTCACTATCCATGTATTATTATTATCATTCAATTCGGCGTGTTTCCTTTGTTTGTTACTGCAACTTTCCTTTATTATAGTTGAATGAATAGGTTACTGTTGAGATTTCTGACATTGTTTGCCAAAGTCATCAGTAACCCAGCTTAAAGAAAAATGAAATGTAAAGAGAATATTGAATGAGTGTAAGTTCAATACTGAACAAGTTGAATAAAATAAATTATGCTAGCCCCTGGCGAACATGATATTATTTTATTAGAGTTCAATAAATTTAGTATTGAACCTACACAAAAATAAAATTGTATTTATCACATACCCAAAATAAAAGCTGTTTAAAGTGAAAAAAAAATCATTTTTTCATTGAAGTGGCAATGTAACGCTAACATTAAGCACGTCTTTACACTGTTTGTATAACCCAAATGATGTAGTGTCAGAATATATGCACAGCTATGCAATACCATTTTTACGGAATCTTAAAAGTGGCACAGGTATGTTAAAAATTTATGTATCAACTTTTTACTATTTCTAGATGACCTTATAGAGGCAATGGCTGCTGCTAAAGAAGAGGTTTGGGGATAGATTTT